AAGAAATAACGTGAGGAATCAGCAAAAATAATAATAAATAGTTGTTAGACTGCGGTGACAATAACACAATTCTATTGCAATGCTATGGATACTGATTGTGTATTTAATATGCATTCATGTTTTAAGAAAGTAAGCGAGCAGCTGATTTTGTGGCCCTAGGGATGTAAAAACCTGCTCGGTCCCCAAAGATGACAGCTGGAATGGCCAGCAAATCGTAACTTTCAGCCACCAATTAACTAACGTATGTAAAACAGCTAAAAACATCATAGTGTTGTGAAAAACACTTTCCAGCTTACCTCCAGATGACTTTAGGAATGCCTTGGCAAATCTTTAACTTACAAACACAAACCCATTATTTGCAAGCACTGGCATGCAATTTTATCTGATACTACTCACTCATTAAAATACCTAATATAAAACCAGAGTTCAGTATGTATGTGTGTCATGTACTCATACTATGCTTTAAAAAGTGTAAATTGTATTGATATTGCAACCAAAAGCCTCAAGGCCAGAATAAATTATAGTTCACAACACATCTATGTTACAATCAGCAAACCTGTACAGTTTGGCATGTTAGACTGCTGATAGCTTACAAGTCTATGCTTTTATGATCTGTTTCCAAAATAATAAATTTATCTTACCTCTAATTAATCAGGTAAAGTCTCTCTGGTGCTCTTAACTTGCTAGCTACCTGTATTGGGAATATTTTTCAGCATCAACATTGAATCAAATTCATGTTTCACTTCCCTCCCTACCTCCTTCACTTCACTTCACTCCATTATTCATGTTCATGCTGGTTTACTTTACCCATAGACTAACCAACCACAGAGTATGTTTTATTATGACTACAGTGTAAGGGTTTCATTGCTTCAAGCAATAATGGAGAACTTTGACTCCGTTTGGGTGTCATACCTTATAATGGCATAGCTTATAATTGAGAATTTTTTCAACTTGAATAATCGTGAAAATGTGGCATAGCTTAGGCTATAAGGGGAAATGGAATTTTTTTCATAACTTATAATCGTAGAAATGTGGCACAGCTTATAATGCTTTTAATTGAAATGTGGCATAGCTTATACAGAGGGGTTCAACATTTCCGTGTTATTCTTATGAATATTCATATTTAAAAGGAATTAAAGGATTTTTTCAGCTCAACATGTTGGTTCTATGATAGCATTAAAAAGTTACAAGCTCAACCAACAGGGTGCAGCACTATTATTAATTTTTACTTTCTCCTCCTATAATACCATAGTATATGGGAAAAGTATTGCTGTATGTGCGGATGTGTACAGGAGCTACAGACCACACCAGTGATCCGATTTGCATGAAATTTGGTATGTAGGCACTAATAATCCGTGGTATCTCCGAGAAAGTTTGGATGTATGGATGTATGTATGTTTGTGACAAGTAAACGTGAAAAATACTGGTCGGATTAGGCTGAAATTTGGCATGATGATAGCTCACATTCCCGATTAACATATAGGTATATCCTTATCTCAAAAATCCTTTCGGGCTCCGCCCCAGTGGCTCTGCAGTTCCCCATGTTAACCTTATGAGTATCTATATATTAATTTGAAACTGTTTTTCTTTGTGACAGCTATTTTAAGAGAACGGCTGGGCGTAGAAACTCAGTAGAGGTGTCTAAAGAAAGGTCCTGGTCTGTAGATGAGCCATCAAAAGAGAAACATGGAGAATTCCCTCGGGGCTCTGCCCCAGTGGCCTTTAAATTCCCATCCCATGTTATTCTTATGGAGGAAAACGAGGTTTTTGTCACAGCTAATTTGAGAGAACGGCTGGGCGTAGAAACTTGGTAGGGGTGTCTAAAGAAAGGTATTGGTCTGTAGGTGAGCCCTCAAAAGAGAAACGATGTAAATTTCCTTGGGGCTCTGCCCCAGAGGCCTTTAAAGTTCACTCTGCAATATTGTTTACATTCCGACCATATGGATAATTTTACACTACTTTTAATGAACCAGCTGTTAATATTAAAATTGTATTCAAAGGTCTACTGAAACTGTCAAAATTAAATGTTTACATTATTATTTATGATTTTAAATGGATTCTCCACTGCATGGCAAGTTTTTTTTAGTTTCAACAAAATGATGAATTTATGATACGTTTGAAATGTTTTGTTCAAAAATCTATGCTTTATTGCTCTTAGAAAATTTTAAATTATGAAATAAGTGTGACTTATCAATTTCAAAGGAACATATAACTATTCCTTATTGGGTTAGCTTATACATATTGTAAGGTTGGCACTTGCCTTTTTTTCCTACTTTCAATCACCATTTATTTTTAAATTCAAGAAAGAACACCTGAGATTCATTTATTGGTATAACAGTTTTTGATAATCAAATTGAAAATTGTGTCATAGATGAGTACGTTGAGGATGAGAGCTGTGTTCAAGTTTTGGAATAGACTAACTACGGAGTCTATGGTTTTGGCAAAGTAGGTGAACTAATGCCAATTCAGGTATTTAAAAAAAATGTGTACACAGTTTTTACTTTGATGTACACATGCTAGGTTGAACAACGCATCTAAACCTCACTACATACAAAACATTCGGAAACACAACAGTGTCATCACATCTCATCGCATTTGCATAATTTGTTACCAATGCTGGACTAGGCTATGGATTTGGTTCCGCAAATGTTCAAGATTTGTGATAAAACTTCCTACAATTATGGTTCATTCCAATCCACGAAATACATGCACAGCTTTATGTGATCTATATGGTCAAGGCAAAACTACCCCTAAGTTAATGAATTATCAAGTAAGAACAGGATGATTAAATACATGGGTCGATGTGGCAAGAGAAGGATTTAAAATTGCTGAGATCGAAGTAAGAATGTTACTGCTTTCTGGAGAATTAGATATTTTTATCAAAAAAAAAAAAAAAGATGAAGATTTACTTATAAATCCGGATACAATCTGAATGATTTTCCTAAAGCAGATAGAATTAGTGGTTAGTAATAAATATTGACTCTTTCCGTAACATGATAGACTAATTATATGAACTCATTCTCCCATATAGTGAAAGTGGCTTTGGTATGAAACAAACTCATGAACAAACAATTATAAGACTCCTAAAAAACCTTTTGGGCAACCTAAAGCCGATAAAAAGAAAGGTAGGAAATATTGTGTTAAACGAATTCATCAATCACGTTTTTTAGGGAACACAATCGTCATGCTTATTATTGCTTATCCTCCCTTCATATAACTAAGATTTTAATGACTTCACTCTATCCAACGCAGTTAGCTGAATTTACATAAAACCTCAAGATTAACCGTCGATTTCGACGGGGTTCAACTAGTTCATATTTAAAGTGAATTAAAGAATTTAACCAGCTATTTCAACTAGTTGGTTCTATGATATGCAATTAAAAATTTATAAGATACACCAACAAGGTGCAGCACTATTATTTTTTAATTTTTTTATGAAATCAGCTAATTCGAACTAAGCAGCAACAAAACACTGTGATACGCAATGAGAACTGTCAAAGTAGGATTGTTTACAGTATGGTTATGTTTTTAATTTCATGAATAATTTGTGAATTTTTAATAATCTATCTTTCTCTATTGTGTAGGTGAAGTGGTAGAACATTATGGCTATGGTAGATGTATAATACTATAGCATACCGTAAATTTGAGGCAGCTAATTTTCTTAAACCGTGTCTTCTCACATTGCAAAAGGAAAGATCGAGTATAACTGCAATAAGTATTATTCTTATTTGCCACATCCGTACGATGGACGGGTACTCTGCTAGTGTTAAATAAATGTCTGGTTTCCCTCACGCAGCAGACTGTCTGACAGCAAATTGGTAATTTGATGCCAAAACTGAGAACACATTGCTTAGAAATTTAACCTCACAGAATTGCATAAAAATATACAAGTACGGTATACAGTTTTTTTTATGGTTTTTGATGATTTTTTGAGTGGACAGACTCCACTTTAGTTTTTTTTGTCATTGCAGTATTATTTTTAAGCTTAAAGCCAAAATTAATTCCCTGACTTTCCAGAAAGTGTGAATCCTGATAGGACAAACAAGTCATTTTTACTATCAACTGTAAAATAAATTAATGTGTTGTAAATTGCCGGGTTAAAATTCCCATCATAGTTAATTGAAATTCCACTGAAACTTAAAAAAATACCCCCGCCGCAGCAAACCTGCCGTCTAAGCGAATTTCCATTTGGCCGAATTGATTTTCAATTGATCTATTTAAATAACATTAGGTTTAACGAGTACCTAGGTTTGCTGCTACAAGGAAACTAATAAAGTAGTGTGTTTTTAGTAAAATATTGATAGCTTACTATAAAATAAATAAATTTGCCAAGTTTGATCAAAATATATCCATAAACAAGCAAACTACAACATTTTACAATATTCTCCATAAGAATAACATGGGAATTTTAAATTTACCATTTTTTTAGTTTTCTCCGTAACCAATAACCGTACAAAAACACTTTGATATACTGAATTGTTTGTTTTTTTAAGCTCTTCAAGAAGGTTTAGAGAAAAATTGGGAAATTTTGTGTTTTGAGGGTAAAAAGTGAGAAAAACCAATTTTTACCCCATAAAACCCCCCATAAAACCCTGTTCCCATGGACCGATCATGCTGGATCGCGAACTCATTCAAGTTTATCCCGCCTTACACCTTCAAACCAAATTTCATCAAAATCTGATAAAAATTACTCAAGTTATCGTGTTCACGGACACATATATATATATATATATATATATATATATACATATATAAAAATTTGAACGAATGGTGTTTTTGGCCTCTGGGGACATTAAAATGAAAAAGTAAATCGGTCCTGGGCCTAAGTCTTACCATGAGACCTACGGTAATAGCTACTTCCCTATAGGGAAATTCGCTAAAAGCCAAAATTAGTTATAACTAAATCATGAGTTTCCTTTATATTGCTTTTAAAATGGAAATAAACAACACCGAGCCATGGCTCGGTCCCCAGGTATTCAGGGTTTAAATAAGAACAAAAATAAAATTTTACTTTTTTTATTGGTTCATATTTTAAAAAGTAACAAAAACTTATGATCTTGGTCTTTCCTTCTTTTCTTTGTACAGAGCCAGAAGAGATACGTTGGCCACCTTCACGACCTTGAATCGGACGCCTGTAACATACACATGTAAAATGTTTTAGTTTAAACTGTAAACGTCATGTGAGAAAAGGATACTACAAAAATTGCCTAATTGTAAAACAGCTGTCATACCCTACTAAATTGGGAAAAGTATTTTAGAAATCATTTTAAATTTGTACACTTCATTCTCTGAGTAAACTGTTATAGTTACCTTGTTTATGGATACATTTTTATAGAATTTTACAAGTTTGTTTACTTTAAACCAAGCTAGTGAGTGATGACCCAAGTTTGAAAACTGCTGCTCCGACCAAACTTTGTTTTCTGTAACCTTGGTAGAGCCATATGGGTGTAGTGCAATTAATCAGCTTTGGATTTCAAAAACCAGGAATACAAGTTTAAAATGTGGGATGGACATCAGTTAAGCAAAACTGTTGGTTATTTTTGTAGCATTGTTTCAGTTGCAATTTTGTAATTAGCTTAACACATAGTATGATGATTTTAGTTGATATGACATGCGACAATTGTTAGCCTATAAACAATATGATGCAAGACTTGTACACTCTCTTACCGGGAATGTCACCGACGGCGTGACCCTTACGACCGAATCCTGCAACCAAGACCTCGTCGTTTTCCTCGATGTAGTTCAGGCAACCGTCTCTGGGGACGAATGCCGTAATCTTCTTTCCGTTCTTGATGAGCTGCACTCGCACACACTTACGGATAGCGGAGTTAGGCTGCTTGGCTTCAACTCCACTAAAATCATGACAAAGGATTGATAATAGTTGATTGATTAAAGGTAAAATCGTATAATTGTTGATTCAAACTTATATTTTTATGTTAAATGTGTTATTTTTTATTTATAGTTATGTGTACTTGTGAGAGTAAATGAAACAAAGTCTCCTTCAAGGTAAAATGAAGAAAAATGTAACCATCTTAATCAGCAAAATGTGAGTGTGTTTAGGAAAATTTATAACTATTAAATATGGAGATTTTAAAGATGTAACCATCAGTCTATTCACCAAGAGTCCCACTAATCTGAACCACTTGTTGGGGAAAAATTACAAATTTATTGAAATTGAAAACAAAGTTAAACCTGTGTTATTAAATTGAAAAAAGCACAGTGTCACCATGATCTTGGAAGACAAATGCGATGTTGTAATCGAAGAAGCAATAGGCCTAAATGGCATTTAACGACTAAAAATAGTACTTTTTTGTTTTCAATTTTAATTCAAACAATTTGGTAACCTGAACTAGGTTTATAGTTGGTGTATTCATAACAAAGTTGACCCTTTATTTAGTGCAAATGTTCCTGTGATATTTCTGTGATCAACATAATATCTATGTTAAGCATCCACATGTGACATCGATTTGCAAAACTTAAATTTAAACATACTATTTGGACTGATGGAATAAACAAAAACCAAAACCCTTCTTACTTAGACTATCAAAAGTAGGCTACGTAAAGTGATGAGAGAAAACAAAAAAATAACATGAGATATGATATGTTTACGGAACATAACACCAGGAACTCTGAGTCACAAGAGGTGAAACACAGATTTGCTAAGCAACCCCAACATTCCAACAAAACATGGGGAACAGTTTCCAACGCAACGGATTTTGTAGAATGAAATTAGGTCAAGTCGGTTCTCAGAGATACGAGGACTTCAGTAAACACTTGGTTTTTTTACAAAAATACAAGCGCTTAGACAACTCTTGTGAAGCCACCTCACAAGGATAGGGGGGCTATCAATCGTACAGTGATCAGCCGATTAATAATTGCTTTTTTACATATTAACATACAGTACGTATAACAAGCAATTCAGATTAATCACTCAATATTTATGAATAAGGGTGGACCAAGAATTCTAGGTGTCTAGATGACTGCTTTTTCAAAACCTCAAAAAAAAAAACACTTACACTTTCTCAAGAACGATTCCCTTGGCGTGTGAAGCTCCACCGAAGGGGTTAGCCTTCCATCTCGTGCCCAAGTGAGCCTTCTTGTAGTCCTTGTCTGCCCACCGTTGTTCACGTCGGTGGTTCACGTGTTTACGTGCAGTGCGCAAACCACGGGGCTTACCTGCAAGTTACAATGGCTTGTAAAAAATCTTTTAAACATAGAGCCAACTTACATACATACCTTATCTAATAATCATTTATGGTGTTCCTACCACTAATATCATGGGTTTACTTGGCCAATTAACTAATTGACATTAAGTTACTGCAAACGTATATCCAGATGGCCTATATCAACAGAGATAATTGAAGTTTGATTATTTAAATTTAATATTAGAGAAAAAAAAAACTATCCCATATTGATTTAATTACTGCAGCAAAACATAATTCAACTATTCAAACATGATAAGTCACATATTTGAGATTGAACAAAAAATATCACGCGGGACAAAGCTTAAATAATCACGTGAAAGAAGAAGAATGTGCCCCTTTTGAATGACCACATTCGTTCCTGGTACCTATATGATCTTGATACTATTGTGTGTGTGAAAGTGTCCTTTATCTTGTGATTATATATGGGTAATACGCTACGCGGCCGTATTGTCCCGCAAAACTGCAAGCAATAGATTTTAACATGAGAAATTGGTTTATCATTTTATGCCAATTTTGTAGGACCAAAATTCGTTCCTGGTATAAAATATGACTTAGACTACGACCTAGATACTGTAGCCTAAAGTAGTCGCAGCTAGTCTGGGCGCGCGGCCACGCTATGGCGGGGGGTGTAGAGGGGAGTGTTTAATGTATTGCTCATTTCCAAAAACATCTGGCCCACACGGCCAGGCTCTGGGGTTGCTTAGCACCTCAGCGCTGTCTTGATGGCTTGGGCGTGGTTAATACACAAGGGTCCGCACGCCCAGACTAACTGCGACTATTGTACTGTCGTGTGCGTGAACATTATGTGCTTCATTATATGACTATTTAGGTATTACGATGCGTGACCAGTTTTTTTTTTCTCCGTGAAATGGCCAACAATAGTTTTATACAAGCGTGCGCACTACTTGTTGCTAAGTTATTGCCAGATTCACACCAATATGAGATTACAATAGAACCACAACCAATTAGAAATGAAGTTAATCAGAAATTAACCATTAGTTCCACTCAGATCAGAAGTTTTTTTCTAGGCCTACACTTTAATTTAGCCTACACCCCACATTTACTCACATACAGCATGTTAGGTTAAGCGCGGGACACACTAAGCTGCTCACCAGCTGCTAGTGATCAGCGCCCGTGGCACCTCATAACCATCTTAAGTGATTATAAACTGTAAGGATGTGTAAGAAAGATAAGGTTTTGCAACAACTCTCTTGGCTATGAGCTGATTCTCTGACGTTCCCTACCTACATCTTTGAAGGAACAACCTAAAGTTACTGTACAAGCACCCACAAGTTTAGTTTTGGAATAAATTTAAGAAATAAATTACCTATTTCCACGACAACTTCAGCTCAGTCATTTCGGTGCTACAAATTACTAAGTTACTTTTAGTCGCTTAGTTTAAAGCTCAGTTCTTGTCACCATGGGTGGCTCATAACCCATTGCTTGTGTAAAATAAAGTCGAAAATTACTTGTGGTTGCCGATGGCACACTTCTAGAGGTGGCCAGACTACACTGGTGGCTGGCGTCAGCAAGTGACCACGTTACCTCTAAGTCGCTGCTGCCTCGCTACTAGTTGAACAAGTCCGACTTCGCCAGCCGCTGACAAATAACTTACTCGTCGGCTGACAGTGCAAGCTGCAAATTCTGTGGTCACATTAAGCTGACAGTAGAGGCTTCGGTACTTGAGTATTAAACGGAGGCCACCTAACCTACAGTTTCTTAACTTAGCTATGATAATACTGATTATTAGTAAACCTTCATTCGATGTTTTCACTATCAGCAAGTTTGGTTGGTTAGGTTAGGCTATGATAGTTTAATTTTATAACTGATATAGCTGACCAGACACAGTGACAGGCGATGACAGGTAATGGCGCGCGCTCCGGTCAACGACCCTGACCTTGGCCTACTTGGAGGGGATTCTGCGAGTAGACACATGACTCATCTGATAACGCTCGACTCACAACAATACTAGAATACAGTAGAACGTCGATTATCCGAAGCCCGGTCATCCGAAACGTCGGTTAACCAAAAGGAAGAAAGAAGCAAAAATCGCGCGCCAATCACGACTGGCCGTAGCGCTACGCCACCGCACGGCTGCTAAGTGGTGAAAGTCTAAATATAGCTCAAAGGTCTGACCCTCCCCCTTCCCCCCAAACCCCTGCTACTTCATTCAGTGTTACGCCCGCTCACTTCGAGGTCATTGCACAACCCCTCCCACCCTTCTATTGTTTTTCATAGCCAGTTACTAGTCAGTCGCCGGCGACTGCTTTGAGTTGACCTATTCTGTTGTAGCAGCTAAAAAAATAGGTTAGGACAACTACCTCTTGCTTATTTCTACAATGAAAAATGTTTGTATTAGGCCTACTGTAGAATCTACAGTGGTAAATATTATCCAGTATTTCACGTAAACACAAGTTACATTTTAACAAATATTGATTTTTTACTAATTTAAACCAAACTCGACTCGAAACTGCCGAGTTAAAAAATATGCTCGAGTTTCAAGGCCGTAGGCTACTCGACTCGAATTTGAAATCTCAAGTACTCGCACATCTCTATAATTAATTAGTCAAATTTATATTATTGTACAGTATCCACAGACGCGAAATCGGCAAATCGCCGCCGGCCGCTATCCCCTTCACGTCATTTCCTGTTCCCCGTATTTTTCCCGTCATTGACCGATTATCCGAAAAATCAGTTATCCGAACAACCCCAATCCCCAATTAATTCGGATAATCGACGTTCTACTGTAGTTCTACTACAACATCTATAACAATTTAACCCTCTATAAGTGCCGCGGCGCGTTTTGTAATGGTGGCCTCCGTTTAATACTCAAGTACCGCGGCTTCTCTCAATTCGCCACGGATGCTAGCCTAGTGTGACCTGTGCTTTAGGTTAGACTAGATTAGCCTAGTTTCATTTCATAAACAACTGGTAGGGGCCTAGTTAGCCTAATATATAAGTAATAGCGAATGTGGGGTGTAAACTATAAAGTCTACCCGCCGTTTTCAGTACCCTACTTGGCAGGTGAAAAGTGTCAACCCATCAGGAATCTTTAGGCCTAGATGGACCTAGGCCTAGCCTATACAGCCTGGGCTATGGACTAACGCATGTGGAAACGATCGCAAATAACCTACTGAAATGAGATAATAAAAACTACTCGCCTAAACAATAACGTGTTCGGTGTACATGTCAAGTTACGTATATGTGAAAACCCATCTACTATCTTAATAATTGCATCTAAGTTACTTACCCATTCTGTTAAAATAAACGTGGCCGTGTAATAGAAACGCGTAAAGAAAGAGCCGCAGCCGATGAGGAAGGAAGCACCGGAACCGAATAAAAGTCCAATGATGACAGTTGGTTCATGGTTGAAACTGTTGTTGTTGACAAAACAAGTACCATAGAGTAGGTTAGGTATGCCAGTTTTACAGGGAGTAGGAAAATGTCGAATCGTACAAAGAGTCAATATTAATAATCTTTCAATGAATATATTAATGTCTGTCATAAAATAAGAGTATCAAGTTAAATGTTATCAGTAAGTAAGTAATGTTATCAATTATAAATATAAAATAAGTTATTACTCAATAAAAATTCCCTATTCTATATTTATCATCATTACTAAATCGTCAACTTCAAATATATGTCAAATATTTTCAAAATTACAATGTGTAGGCCTATAGCAGTGAAAAGCTAGATCATAGATAAACCATACTCCTCAAGGAGTATATTTTATCCATGCTTTAGTCTTATAATAGCGACCATTCAAAGGTATTAAGCCAAGTGTCGAACTAATAATAAAAGCCAAGGTATTTTAATGGAGACGAGTGTAGGGTGAGTGGCGCGATCTTGTACTTGTAGTCATCTTGTTGGCGACTATTGACTAAGGCCGACATGTTCCTTACTTAGACCGTCAATGCTTACAGGGCCGGGGATAGTAGCTTACTATCCCTGGCCCTGAATGCTTAGACACAGCTGTTAATTAATAGCCCACACATCCAATGGCACAAGGGACCTACAGTTTGTCGTGGAATCCGAACCAAATATTATTGAGGATAGAGGACGTTGCGAAGTCCGAACCATCGTTCCACAGCTAAGTATATTTGGGGTCTCATGGTAAACAGAACTGGTGGAGACAGATCAAGGTCAGAGGTCCAGTTGCAGATGGCTGTTGATGTCTGTGATCAAGTCTGTACTCATGTACAAAGCGGAAATGTGGGCAGACGCGCTCAATAAGGAGGTACAGGATGGTGCAGAGTCAGGAAGCACTCATGGTACCACCTACCTACCATAGTGTCTGGACCCACCGTCCTGGTGGTCACTGAAGTTATCCTCGTCTAGCTTTTGGTAGCGGAGAAGAGCCCGCAACGACTGGCTCTCCCATCAGGAGAGCTGGGAACAGGAGACATGGGGAAACTGGACCAGGCAACTGATTCAGCAGGTCCAACCTTTGTTTTTGTAGGTGGTACGGAGAGGTGGATTGGATTCCTCCCGGTTTCTCAGACTCAGGTCCCTGCTTTTCCCGGGTCGTACCAGTTTAGGACGGGCAAAGCCCTGTCACCTATTGCACCTACTGCCTGGGCATTCTCGATGACGCGGAGCATTATATACTTTCTTCCACTCCCCGCATTGGGAAAGGTGCCTGCCACCTGGAGGCTCAGTAGTATGTATCACTCTGATGATGGGCATGGTCATGATGATAACCGACGAAAATGGGGGATGAATGCACTTGGGACTGTGTGTGTCATATTGTGCCCACGGTATTCTCCATGCGAAAGAAGATCGAGTCTGATCATAGGATGCAGGCTAGGTCAAGACGAACTGAATGCCAGAAACGGTGCGAGCACTGGGTGAGTGCTTAGGGGGGCCTGGCTTGATGTGACAAACAATCCCAGGTCTGTGCCAAACAGAGAAGAGGGATATTTAGTGAGTAAGTATGATAAATTCAGGGTGTTACATTACAGGCAGGCTACATGTATGCGTAAAAACATTTCCCCTCTCCGTAAAAAAACCCATTACTGTTGAAGCTGGGCTGAGCTGTTCTTGATCATTGGACTTGTTGGTTTAATTAGTGGCCCTGGCTGATCAAAAATCATCTGGCCTTATAAAATAAACACTAGAGTTATAGTGAGTGTCCTCTCAAATAATTTGATTTTAGAATTTGATAATGCCTATTAGAAGAGATTCAGAGGTTTGGAGCCCTTCAAAAAGATAAGTCATCACTGAGTCAAAGAAAACTCAGTTACAGTAATATGATTTCCTTCCCTGATCCCTACCTATCCAATTCAGAAATAAAACATTAAAAAAATAATTTTACTACCCCTGTAAAATGGCATTAGGCTGGGAACTTTGGGTAAAATATCACCAAAACAGAACTTGCTTGAAGTTTAATTCCTTTTTAAGAAAAAGGATTTATTATTGACTTATCATCAAACAATTTATTAGAGTAAAAAAAATTGATAATTGTCATAATGAAAGAACATGCAACCAAAATTATGGAAATTTCTGTAAATTGTGCAAAAAATATCAATTTTGCATTACACCCTACCTACCTTCTTGGTAGACCTTGGCACTTTTTATAACAATACTAGCAAGTAACCCGTTCTTCGTATGGGGTTGGCGTAAGTATAAAATGCTTATTGCAGTTATAATTGGTGTGTTGTGTTTGCAATGGAAGAGGACACGTTAGCAAATTTGGTTCTTTCAATTTACGGTACTATAGTATAGCCCATCTACCATAGCAATACCCAGACAGCACACTTTATCCCAGGGACATCCCATAGTAGTCCCATATGTCCTGAGAATGTCTCGGGATATGTACGCTATCCTCAGGATATCCCGCAAAATCCCGGGACGAGTACGAAATCCACAGGATATCCTACAATATACCGTAATGTCCCGGGATTTGTAAGTTAACCTCAGGATATCCTGTAAAGTCCCGGGATATGTACGAATGCCATAGGATATCCCAGAATGTCCCATGACATCCCGGGACATGTACAAAATCCACTGGATATCCTGTAATGTCCCGTAATGTCCCGGTAACAAACTGAAGAAAAAAAATACTACCACTGATGAAATGTATATCTAAGTTTAAATGTTCAACAAGGCCAATATATAATAATTTGTTTTTTTTTCACTAGTGCTTTCAGAAACTTGGTTTCCATCTTCAGGCTGTGTTTACACTAGTACAAAAAGTAAATATTTTTACTTAATAAATTAATTTTAAACAAAGTTAAAACAGATGATTTAAAGGATATTGGAAAAATAAAAAATAATATAAGAAAAATTAATCTTTTGAATTTTGGATATGTTACAGTGTTGTTCTTGATGTAATTATTTTCAGTAATTCCGAATTTATAATTGGGCCGTCTTCATTATTTAACAAATAATTTTGGTCTGTTTTTTTTTCTAAAAATAAGATTCCCACGCATTAAGATGTTGAGGTTTTATAATTTATTTTAAAAGTTTAAGGTTTCCCAGATTGAAAATATGTCTTGTTAATACTATGGCTAGCAAGGGTTGACTTTACTTTACTGACATATTACTACCACTGAGTTCAGGAAAACTAGAGTTCTATCATAATTGTGGGAAATGTGAATTTAATTCTAACTTTAAATTAATAAAACAACCAAAAACTAATTTTAATCATATGACAATCAATTATATCAGTGCTAATCTAATGGTGATTAAATAATCTATATTCAAATACCAGTATCCTCTCCAACTACTAGAAAAACAATTCAACTACTTGAGGCCTAAACAGATAAACAGAAGCATATATAGCCTATACTGTAGTATCAAAAATATTTTAAGTATTGCGACCATTGCAACTGTCGGCTACTCTTTCACCACTTGAAAACACCCATAATCATCAAGCGCAGATAGCTCAGGAGGTAAGGTAAGAGGCTCATAAGGCGAAGGTACCAAGTTCGAATCCCGTCTGGGCCAAAAACTTTTTTCTCATTTTTTTCTTCAAAATTTGTGTTTATTAACTATTTGATCAATTTACTAAACTTATAATTAAGCTTTTCATACTAAATCTATATTATTTTGTGTTTTTTATGTTCAGGCCCAGACCACACTTTATCCCAGGGACATCCCATAGTAGTCCCATATGTCCTGAGAATGTCCTGAGGACTACCCTGGGATGACCTCGGATGTCCCACGGATATGCGTGTGAGCTTATCCGTAGGACATCCCCGGGCGGGGACATTACGCATTCCTGTGGATATCCTGTGATATCCCAGGTTGACCATAGGACCACTATGGGATATCTTGCATATCCTGTCGCAATATCCGTGGGATGTCCTGAGGAGAAAGTGTGCTGTCTGGGTAGTGTTCTACCACTGCCCCTAAACAATTAAAAAAAATCTAAATTCTTATTTTTCACAACTTTTTGTTGCAAGTTGGTTCAAATTGGATGTTGTCATAAATGCAAAATAATTAATTTAATGGCATAGAACAAGTGTGGTTGAAATAGCTGACAAAACTCTTTTAATCCTTTTAAATATGAATACTCATAAGGTTAACAGGAACAGTGGCGGATCCAGAAGGGGGGCGAACTGCCCCACATTGTGTATAATACAGTAGTGCATACACATTGCTTAAAATAATTTGTCACACTAACTTTGGACAAAGAAATGGTATAAAACTGACATTTAGGAGACTTTGTTTGCACAAATTTTTCAAGGGGGTACCCCGGAACCCCTTGTTTCACCCCCTCCTTGTGATTGTTCTACATCAGCCACTGCATAGGAAACTCTTAGAGCCAATGGGAAGAACCCGAAAGGATTTTTGATATAAGAATGTGTCTACTGTATATGTTAATCGGGAATGTGAGCTGTAGTCACACCAAATTTCAGCCCAATCCGACCAGTATTTTTCGCGTTTACTCGTCACAAACCCATACATACATCCAAACTTTCTCACTTATAATATTAGTAGGATTATTATAAGTAGGAAGTAGGATAACAAGGCCCATATTTTAAGCCCAGCTGGGTAATTTTTACCATCTTTGTAAAATCAATAAATTTTAACCCAAATTGCATTAGAGTAAATATTTATAGTACAGGTAAAATTATACTAAAAATCCAGTAGAAAACATAAAAATTAGTCCATTCATGAAACTTGCAGGAAACTTAGTAATAACCATTAGGTTTTGAAATCTGAAGAGTCCCTAGTGATTGTGGGGGTGGAAGTACCATTTTATGGGGGTTTAAGTTTATAGGGGTAGTGATTTTAAGAAAATTTTTATTTTTGGGATCCAAGCAAGTGAGGTGTCGTTTTCTATGTTTCTTAGGATGCAGAATTGAAAAATAACAAAATAAAAGCAATACAACCAACAGTTTATTAGAAAAAGACTAATTTTTTAATGAAAAAC